GAATTCATATGACCGTTAAGTTACCTACCATACATGTTGTGGTGTGAGGCGGTGTTGGGTCGCGACGTGCCCGTGTTCATCGTACTCGTGTGATGGCCATGCATACCCATTCTGTAATATGGATATACATAGATGGAGTAAATGGATACACACATATATACTAAAATATCTTATTTCTGTACATTCTCTCCTTCGTCCATCATAGTTAAAGCTTCTTCAATTTTTTAAACTATTGCAGATGTCTATGGATAGTGGCCAATTGACTATCTTGGCGTTATGAGAATGCAATTTTTTATTTATTTACCTGGGTAAGGGTACCGGCGGCAATGTTGGATATCCTCCGAACATGGCAGAGGAGGGACGGGTAGCCATCGTCTGTGCGGGGTCAGGCTGCTAGAACAAAATGATTATTTAAATTTAAAATAAACATCTTATATAATACTTAATATTTGGCGAGAACGGAGTCGCAGGATAACGCTAGTTTATTAATAATCTCACCGCATAATGATTAGCCTGAGCCATTGCTTCAGCAATCTGCGCCCAACGCATGCGCTCTTCTATGGATACCTAAAAATAAAAATCATATGTAAATTCTAATGGAGCCTATATAAATAAAAATAAAATCGAATGACTGGGACTCCAATAGTGACTATCTTTACCTTATAAATAGGTTAGGGAGGGGAGGGGGGGTGGAAAGGGAACTAAAATTAGGCACAAAAGAGAAAAAATATTAAAAAATTTAAATCAGGCAAGCGTTACTAAGATTTTGACTATGATAACAATTCATGTAATTTTTTTCTATCGTAAATAATTTTTTGTGACATTTAATAATATCTAGTGACCTGATACGGTGGTTGTCCGACAGGAGGCGTCTTGATGGTGTTTGAGGCCATGTAGTTGAAGACAGGCGAGCCCATACCAGCCGCCTTCTGCTCCCGAGACCATTTGCGACTGCACAAACAAATTATAATAAATTAATCAGTGTTGTATACTGTATTCTACTATAATACATTCTAATATACTACTATATACTGTATTCTATTTATATATAGTGTATTCTCCTAATATACACTGTATTCTTCTAATATACACTGTATTCTTCTAATATACACTGTATTCTCCTAATATACACTGTATTCTTCTAATATACACTGTATTCTCCTAATATACACTGTATTCTACTAATATATATTGTATTCTACTAATATATATTGTATTCTAATAATATATATTGTATTCTCCTTATATACGCTGTATTCTCCTAATATACACTGTATTCTACTAATATATATTGTATTCTCCTAATATACGCTGTATTCTCCTAATATACACTGTATTCTCCTAAT